CGTCTACATGGGGATTGGCATCTGCTGATGTGTATTCTCGCCGCTGATGTGACTTAATTCCTTGAAACAGCGTCCACACTCGAGTGATGCGTCTTCTCACCGACTGATGTGAGATGCCCGCTCTCGTAGTAGTGGCAGCAGCAGTAGCAGTGGTTGTGGTGGTGGTCGTGGCGACAGTAGTAGTAGTAGTCGTCGTCGTCGTCGTCGTCGTCGTGGGCGTGGGTGTGGGTGTGGTGGTGGTGGTGGTGGTGGTGGTGGTGGTGGTTTCGTTTTTTGTTTTACACGCCGCAAAGGGAGTCCAGGCTTTGCGACGGGATGTGTAGGTCAGGCTTGGCCTGGTCGCTGCGCGACGCACACATTGCACCATCCCCAGAAGACAGATCAGCACATGCATCACCGCGTACGGCCAGAATGCATGGTTGAGACGGCTATTTTCGAGTAACAAGTATAAAGAAACATGGCGTGTAACTCTGACCAACTGTACATCCATAGTCGTTGTTCCCAACGCGTTAAGTTGAGAAGCCGGGTCCCCGTTTCAAAATGACATCTTTCAGCTGGAGCCAGGGGCTTAGTAGCAGTAGCAGTAGTAGCAAAAGCAATAAGTAGGAGGACGAAGCGGAGCAGAAGGAGGACTCCACATGGCATTTTCTGAAGGCGTTGAAAGGCCCGTCTGATCACGACCAGATTTATTTATTTTGTAATCAGTTTCCAGTTCCAACTATAGAATTTCCACTGACACATGACATCGCAGGACCTTTTCTCCACATGTCGCTTGGGGGTGAGGTACAATCGCATACAGGCTAACCGGGTTGCTGCGGGCCAGACGTGCAAGAGTTTCTCCCTGAAGGCTGTGTCCGGAATTCTGGGTTGGAACTTGAGCACCTGGGTCCGAATTAAACACTGCGAGCTTGAGCCAACCAACGCCAGGCCCACAACTGGAACTCCAACACATCTGGCTTTACGTTGTAGCTGCTTGGCCCGGCGGAGGGGGTCCATTGCATCCCGCTACAGCTGCAAGCTGCAGAAAGCGCAGCGGGGTGGCCTGCCAGGGACAGGAAGTGGGATCCGTCAGCGCTGTGCATGTCTTGAGCTGTGTATTGTTGCTTCATGGAGTGATGCACGTCTGATGCACTTGGAGCTTGCTTGTTTGGATAGTGATGCCTCAAGGTTGTGCTTGAGATGTTATTTGTTGGGGAGGTTGCCCCCCAGTTGCTCTCAGCAGGCTTGCTGGAGTGTTCNNCTGATGTTCTTTGTCAGCCGTCGAGCTGATGCCAGTCTTGAGCCTGGATTATCAAGTCCACACCGGGAAGAAAAAGTGAGCGCGTTAAGCTGGTCGGGCTTACGTGTTTGCTGGAGCGCGTTAGGATCCCCTCGAACGCGAACACATCCGAAGCGGTGACGGTGCGAATCCATACTGCCGCAGGCAAAAACGCGATTGATTTTTACCCTTCTTTTGTCGATGCATGGGCCGCTGCCTTGGTGGTTTTGCAATGCCTCCTGATTCCACAGCTTGTTACCTGTCACAGCTTCTGTTCTGAGACGCAATGCGCACCAACCATGGAGTTCTGCATCTCACCAGCGTCCGAGCCCCGATTGTTGTGGCAAGCGTGTGTTAGTGCAGCGCAAGCGAAAAGTGCTTGAGGCTGGAGCTTGTCTGCGGTGGCGTCTCTCTGGGCAAAGCTAGCTTGCCGTCCGTCCGAATCCCGGGTCCGGAGCTGCAATCTTCAGCATTTTTGTCACGTTCAAAATACCCAGTTCGGGGTCCCGCAAACTCCGCAGCCGAACTTCCTGGCACGATTCTCAGTTACTCCTGCTTGCATCACAACTATAACTATCTGTTCCTTGCGAGCTGCCAACGTCGTTGCTGCCACATGATATGTCTCTAGCATTGTCGGATCAGCATCAAGCCCGATGCGCGTTTTGATATTTTGGTTTGCAGAGTTAGATCCTCATCCAAGGAGTCAGGAAAGTCGTTGGATGGTAGTTGGCTATCTTGAATGTTGAGGCCACCGTCAGGGTCACGTCACATGTCCACCGGCGAAATATAATGGATGTTGATGTGAGCAAACCTCTCCGTGCAGGGCAAGATTTGCTGTTTCTGCTAGATCTTTTGCACGGTCGCCTTTGCATACCCTGGTGCTAAGTTGCTGAAGTCTGCACACGCATTGTCAGTCACCTCACACTCTGAGCTGTTTATCCTGGGTTCTGTAAGCTCAGCTAGGCCAGCTGGTTTTAGAAACACACTGTTGAGCTAGGATCGACTGCCGTCTTTCTGTGGAATTTCTAAGGGGGCGCTGATTGGAGCGCAAACCACTACCCCGGCTCCGACCGCCGAGCAAACCCTCCAGCCTCCTCAGGCCAGCAGGGATTGATTAAGCTAATGATGGCTGCGATGTGTATACTCGCTTGATGCTGTGACGTGCATACTCAGGTGACGCTGACCCCTCCCACCGCGACCATTCAGTTCAAGGTCTGTACTGTGCTTTCGTTTCACTGGAGTCTGTGCGACTGTGGTTGATCAGGTGGCCGAGACTCCACCTACCTCGTCCAACATGTTCTTGCAGCCTGCCATGGGTTCGGAGGTCTGCCAACAGTTTCACCACCTGCCTGCATTCTCTATGCGCAGCAGAGCTATTCACCAGAGGTTGGCATGATGTCTCAGACGACTTTCATTTGGACACTTGCCGACACGCCTCCGAACGAGGTAAGGCATCGCTGCTGTGCAAAAGCGCGCAGTGCCGCTTCGGCTGCCTTGCAAGGTGAAGTCGTTCGACCTTGTTCCTCTACTGATGGTCGAGGAGTCATCTCAACTGCTGCAGGGCCAGGACATCATCCGAAAAGCCGAGAACAACTCGCGAGGAATAGAATTCCGAAAAGTTGTCCCGGTTGTTCCTGTCAGGAGCTCCATAACTTGCGAAAAGTGGCTGACAAGTATTTGCTTCCGGTAGCTTCTGCGAAGGCCTTGCACACGTGACTCTATAGGGTCTGCAAGGGCTCTGAGCAAGCTGTGCAAGTGCCAGGAGACGATCACGGTCAAGTGTGAGCAGAGATCGGTTGGCAGCATTGCGGCACGCTCTCAGCTTCTCTGAAATCTCAGACTGCGGACTCTTAATTGCCGAAGGCCGAAACATTGCCATGCACCTTTGCTGCAGCCCTTGGCTTCAACAGCTGATGGCTCAGCCCCTTTGCAACCATGCAGTGGGGTCTCCACACTTCGTAGCTGCCTGCCAGCACCGACGTTCAGCACCGGAGAGATGGTGGTACTGCTGGTTCAATGGCCAGGGGGCCCTATTGTTGCATCCGGGGGCATCGCGCAGAAAGATCAATTGTAGACTTTTTGAGCATCAAAACTCGGTTTCGCTTCAGATTCAGGTGCTGTAAATGTCTGCACAGGTCAGACGGTGGTCTCACGCACAAGATCTTTTCACCTGCAGTCCAGATTGGAACTGCCCGAAGGAGGGGTTCCCATGGCCTTCAGAAGGTGTTGTGAGATCATGCTGCATCCGTCCTGCTGGCAGGCGCCTGCAAGCCGGATCAGGACCTCCTGCGGCACTGCCGCAGAAGGCTGTCCCCCGAAACATCTCAAAACTCTGTCTTGCTTGCCCTTCGGTTCTGCTTCCTTCAGGCAGCGGCAGCGGTGGCAAACACTGATAACGTGAACGGCACACACCCGGCACCGGATTGTTCACACGAGGAGCTTTGAGAGTGTGTCATGTTCCTCAACCATACGTGCTGCTGCTGCTGCTGCTGCTGCTGCTGCTGCTCATCTACAATAAGTAGCCACTTGCGCGTCGCCAGGATCTAAAGTTCAACTTTGGGCAGGGCATGGAGTTCAGGGTGGAGGCCGACATCACAGATGCGAGTGATTGTTGCCATGCCTTGCTTAGAGAGAAACAAGTTTAGCAGCTGCATTCAAAACGGAAAGTAACCTATTGGACGACCATGGGGAAAACCCATCACAATGAAACCAAACAAGTCGATGTAAGAACAGATGCAATGGATGGTGTACGCCACCGGCAGCAAGCCAGGTCATGAGCATGGGCGTCCCAAAGGTTCGAAGTTCGACATTTGATCGCTGCTGCGTGTCTGTCAGATCAGCATGTCCCATTGCCAGGATTTCCCCGAAATGTACACCAACCCCAACGCTGGCCCACTGTACGCAAGTCCTTGGGGTCCTGCCGGCATTTTGGGATGGGTAGCCCGTCTTTGTGGGAATCTGGAGTCATGGCATGGCTTTCAGCGAGCCAACTCCCTCCACTGCCAGCTGCGATGGAGGGCACAGCACCTGCCATGGCAGCAGAGGAGACAAGTGTCCACATTGCACGCCGCGAGCACGAAACAACTGCACGCACTGCCGGATGACAAAGCAACGGTCGGTGACCGATGCTTTGCACAGGACTTTTTGCCAGATGGAGCTTGCGACATGGGCTTCTGCGACACTCAGCTGCCTGGCTGTGGGCAGGCCTGATCCAGAGACTTGGCTGTCGCAAAGGTGACACATTCGATGCAGTGAGCCCCCGCTTCCTCCATGTTTGCAGAACGGCTTCAAGAAGCTGCACTTTCCGAAGCTAGTTTTCAACTTCAGCAGGCGAGAACAGCTTCGACTGATTCCTTGAAGAGTCTCCCGAACTTGTATGCAGGGCCTTCCATTTTTCCGCGAACGAGACGACGCAGCAGCAAAGCTGTCCTCTTTTGGCGTGACACATCTTGCAAACCAGTTGGCACTGACAAGTTTATGTTTGCCAGGCAGCACAACATGATGAAGGAGGCTATGGCGTGGGCTTTCTCGGCGATGCCAGAGGTCCGCATGTTGAAGATGGCGAAGTCAGGTAATCACAAAGTGGAGGAACCAAGACAGCAACAATATTGACATGTCGCAGGCTGTCACCGTCATGCTCCAGGAGCTGGAAGCACAAGAGAAGGCCACGGCCTTTTGTCATAATATGTTGTCATGTCTTCTGTGTAAGCCTGGTGCTTCTGCGAGTCATTGCGACTGTCTTTGCGAAGATGAGCCTGTGTTGACAGTCAGGGTTTGGATGAAGCCGCCTCCCATATCAACAGATTAAACAGTTTAAACCTCCAGAGCCGGACAGGCCGACAAGCTGAACCACAGGGTTCAGCCAGCAATTGACTGTGCATGCCAGCCATCGAGCAAGCAAGGGCTGTAAGCACCATCCCCTCCAGCTTGGCCAACCCCACTAGAAATTTGTCAGCGACCGATCCTGCAGGAGAAAAAGAAGCAGGCGGGATGCGGAGCACTGGAGCTTACCTCGAGCTCCAGCTTTGCCATGGACCCCGAGTTTGCTCTGGCAGACGGCCGTTCCGAACTATGGCTTCGGCAACTACGGGAATGCTGGTCCCGTCAACCAGGGTGCTGGTCGGACTCTCGTGCTGGTTGCATTGGACGGTCTCAAGCCGCACCTCGTGACATATGGATGATGTCGTGAAGCAATTCCCTAATATCTCCTTTCGAGATGTTCTCAAGAACTAGGTCTGCCAGTGTTGAGTGGCCGGACTTGTAGGATCACCTGCAAACGGCTGGAGCTGCCGATGTTGTCGCCGCACCTGTGTCTTCAGCCCCTACAGGAAAACTCTTGAAAGAGATTTCAGTCGTCGTATCACCGACTGTCGGAATGACAGAGTGATTCCGCGAGCGCATCCGCCATCCAGAATCATTGGGATTGGCGTCAGGCAGACCTTGCACAGACCTGCCTTACCAACAGCAAACATTATCACACATGAGCAGTCTGGACAGCCATGACGCATTTGCACCACTTCGAAACAAGCGATCCATGTTCTAGAGTGTGCTGCCGAACGCGACCCATTGTTTTGCTTCAAAATGCTGCATGGTGCTCTACGAGGCTACTTTGCAATTTTGCAGACTGCTCGGATGTTTATGAAGTCTTGGTAGCTATGCGGCAGCTGTGAACGTGGAGTGGAGTGGAGTGGAAAGTGACCAGGACAAAGTCCGGTCGAGAGGCGGTACCACCTCCGATGGCTTAAGGATCAAACCACAGAAGAAAAACGAAAAACAAAACAAAAACGTGCTGCAACAAAAGCACAAACCTACGTCCAGCAGCTGCTGCTGCTGCTGATGCTGCTGCTGCTGCTGCTCCTGCACATCATCCGCCGGTGCTGCAGCCGCAGCTTGTGTAGACCGAGGACGAGTAACTACAGGAGGCAAGCATGACCTAAAATGGCTAACTACAGGAAGCAAGCTTCGCAACGAAGAGGTCGTTGCCGCCACGAAGAGGTCGTTGCAGCAGCACGCAGGTAGGCACCCGCCAAGCCCGGGGGATGGATACCCCTAAAGCCAACAAGCTTCGCCACGAAGAGGTCGTCACAGCAGCACACGTCAAAGCCAAAGCAGTACCTGCCAAGCTCGGGGGATGGATACTTCGAAAGCCAACAAGCTTCGCCTGAACAAGGTCGACGGGGAGTTCGCGACTAACGGCACTGTCGCACTAGTGTGCACTGGGGGCGGGGAGACGGGTGCTCATCGAGCAGATGCTCTTAGTGCCGCCCCGGGGGTCCGCACCATCCCCCAGCAACCGCGCACACTAGTCTCCGAGGGGTTATTTAGGTCAACATGGGTAGAGAGCATCAGCACATGGTGGACTTTCGGAATTCATTCTCCGTGGATGTGGCGAAGTCGCAAAGCACGCTGGTACAACGTTGACGGCTCCTCATCGTCGTCAGATTGATACATCTTCTCGGCGTCAGACTTGGTAGACCCAGGCCGGACGAAAGGAAGTCATGCGGAGCAGCCGAACTCTTCCGCAAGCAAGTTGTTGCCGCACGCAGCGGAAGATTACTATCGTCTTTTCTTTGGTGCGGAGCTACGTTCTGCAGATCGCTACAAAACTGCTTGAGCACATGTGCTGCGCAGTGAGTGGGTGGGTTTTGAAAGGCTGTGAGAACATGTAAAGTGTTTGGACGATTTTGATGATGATGGCCGTCATCATCAACATCATCATCATTGGAATTTCAGTCCTCATCGACAAAATCATCTTCGTTGCTATTGCTGCCTCATCATCATTACGGCTATCATGTCCAGGAGGCCTGCGGCCATCGCCATCGCATCGCCACGATCATTTTCATCACCACCGTCGTCAACATCATCATCAACATCACCATCATCATCATCATCACCGTCACAATTAGACCCATTTGATCAGCGCAATCCTGCGCGTCGTCATCATTCCTCGGAGTCCTCCGCCAGCCAGCCTCACACTTGCTCAGCCCTTTGCGTGTGCCGCCTTGTGATTCAAAGAGAAGGTCAGCCGGGCCAGCCAAACTGGTTCGGTGCACCGTCGCAGACAAGTGCGATTGCCAACACCCAGCAGGCCTGATCCAATCATGTGCCAGCTGTTTAAGATCAACCTCGCATGTCTCGTTCTTGCACTCGGCACAGATGCCGAGCGCTTTTGGAAAATGGTGGAACACACAAAGAAGGCGCGAATTTCGTGCTGTTAATCGCGCAGTATATACGAACAATACCAGACGGAGGTTGCGAGAGCGACCACAACGTGGCATCGACCAAGCCATTCCCTCATGGACGATGTTTTGAGACAGATTCATTGTCCGACTGACCTAGCCTCCTGTCTATGCATGTGAGACGGAGTCGTTGCCCCCAAGAAATTGGGGCCTTGTCTGGTCAGTGGATACGACAGCACGGAGCTTCTAGCTGAGGACGTCTGGCATGCCCTGTTGAGGATGGAAACATCGTGGACATGCCTACGAAGCTGCTTTCGCACCAGGTGGTTGGTGGAATGACCAGTTTCTGCCTTCAGCAAATGACAGCCAATTGCCAGGTTCAGGTGGAGTTCAGCGAGGGACTTCCATATGCCGTCAGCCATGAGCTGTTAAGCAGGATGGTGCGTGGGCGCTGGGTCCTCAAAATCTGCTTGTTGGGGAGACACCATCGGGCAGGCAGATGGTCCAGTCGGATTGGTTTCACATTGTTCACATCATGGATGCTCGATATTTGGCTGCTTGTTGTTGGACTGGAATCCTTAATGGCTGAATGTGCGTTTTTTGTCAAGGCATGTTCCAAGTTGATGATGGCTCGAGCAACAAGCTGGGCAAGCTGCAGATTACTGGGCTGCGGGCTCGAAGACTGGAACAGAGCTTTTTCAATCTGTCCAAGTGTCGGCAAGCCTGTAACGTGCTCTCGTGCATCTCAGGTTTTACCTTCAAGATATGGGTACGGTAAGCATACCTCAACGCGATGGTGCAACACCTCGATTCGACGGACTGTTCTGCACACCGTGGCATTTGTTAGCTACACTTTGTACACGTCCGGCGTGCATCCTGGATAGAATCCTCGCTACTGTTGACCAGTCCTTTTCTCGAGGAGGTGGCTCTCCGGCCATGTATGGTCTTATTGCTTCAGACTCAGTCATTCAAATCGCCAGACTCCAGGGTACCTGCGCACGCTTGGAAGGCATCTGTGATGGTGGCTCTGGGTACTGCGATGGCGGTAAGCTTGCAGATCTCAGCCAGTCATGGCAGCAGCTCTCGGTGAACGCAGGTACTTCTAGCTCTTCGTGGAAAGAGCTCGAGTGGTGTGTCCTTGCATGTTTCTGCACAGTTGTATGGCGGCTTGCCGTGTCTGACTGGTGCATGCGGCCGTGTGGTTCTGCGAGTTACTTCTTGATTGCCAAAAGGCTATCTACTCCAGACCGCTGACGGAGAAGGCCACTACAACTCTGGATTCCTCGTGGTTGTCAGCGTATTTGGGCATAGCCTCGGTAAGCCATTGTGCCCCCGGGGATTTGCATCGAACAAACTCAGAGTTGTACGGGATGCTTGACTCTGTCTTGGCAGATTGTGTCCTTGCGCTGTGAAGGTCTGGAATAAGATGCTCCTGGTACCGTGTGGCAACGGCCTGTGCGGGGTAGCTTCAGCGATGCAGAAAGTTGCTCAGCAAATGCTTCTCGCAAGCAATTGAGGTTTGGCCACAAATTCGCTGTGCAACCTGCAAGGAGCTTGAAATAGCTTGAACGAGGGTAGGTTCCGAGATTCGGTGGAGGAGTGCAGAGCTAACAGCTAAGGTTTCACTTGACGGCTCGGTACAGCTGAGCAGCCCTGCAGCTGAAGATTGCAGGGCCTGGACGGCAGAGCAGCACGAGCAGATGCGAGCAGTTGTGCGAGCCTATGTTAGTACTCCTAAGGATCCGCAGGTCCACTACACACCACATTTGGCCGCTCTCTCTCGTAGCGCCAAGTTGGCAGAGGGTTTAAATGCTTGCAAGGAAGATGCACTGACAAGAGTTTCCGAACTGTGGTGCCCGTGTCCGTGCCTTCATGAGAGAAGCCGAAGTGCTCAGCCAGTTACGCAATTACCTCACTTCCGCTACATGTGGCGAAAACTGCCGTCTCAGAATCTTGTTGTCCCGCTGATCAGTTCACCGCTTGCTTGATGTCAGTAGCATCACAGACTCATCACAGATTTCATGCATTCAGCGTAAATATAAATTGAGTGACCTGTCCAGGTGCAATCTTCCATTGAAAACGCAATGCTTGCATCCACCTCTTTGAGGATGTGGCTTCCAAATGTGCATGAACTCTAGCGGGAAGCTTCGATGGGACGCAAGTCCCCTGGCAGGACTTTGGAACTCACCACGTCGCAGAAGCTGGCGTTAGCGCCCCGTTATAGCTGCTTCGCGGTTCAGAGAGTAGCGCAGTCACCCCAAAGCTGCTGCAGGGATCGCGCGGTGACATACCTCCTCGAGCTGCGAGCTAAGCTCAATGCGAGATTGATTTTGACTCAAGATTTAGACACAAAGTGCTCTAGGCACTGTCCTAACTTGTCGTTTCTTGATGTGGGACACTGCTCGGAGCTCAGTGAGTTCTGGACGTGGAGGGATGCATGGTCTTGAGTCCGATGTCATCAACACCTGCTCTGTCGTCTTGGCGTCGTCTCATCACCTGCTCAATGAACCCCACTCGCACCAGTTCGTCATCGGGCCCCCTGCTTGCCTCTGGAAGAATCAAGCGGCACTTGCGACTTGCAACAATTCTTCCTCCCTCCCGCTTCCGCTCCATCCCGTGCAACAACAACAACAGCATGGAAGCCTGGATGGCAATCGGTGCACTTGTGCGGATATTCTTGCTCGTCGCAACTTGGTCCTGGGCGAGCTCCGGCATTTTGCAGCCCGAACGATTTGAGACCGCAAATGGCCGCATGATGTATTCGGCCTTCAGGACCCAGGCCGGAGATCCCAGCAGCCATTGCAGCATCACGGAGGTGTAAGCCGCAACAACACTTGCGAATGCTGATGCAGTCCATGCCTTTGCTTTGTGCGTTTGTTCTCGTGGCGCCCGGAACAACAGCCAACCGATGCCAATCTGGAAGAGCCATAACTGGCGCATAAGGACAGCCACTCCGAATGCATGATCGATAAGTGTGACAAATCGGCGAATGTTGCATGACATGTGCAAGCGGTGCCTGCATTCCAATTGACCCTCTGGGGCTGGAGGGGGCCGCTTCAAAGAAAGCTCCTCAGAGCGCCTGCATTACCCGGACCAGTCCCGGACGACTGCTGGTCCTTTGCTCGCTTGGCTCATAGATTCCATTGTTGCGCGATGGACAGCAATGGGTTCAAGAGTACAACATACTACCACTTGAGATTGTTGCGCGATGATGTCCTCTGACAAGCCCAGCAGGCGAGATAAGCTCAGAGTCTCAGAGAGGGCTTATAGCTCATTCAGAGCCGCGCAACGAAAGATCATGACTGTTACTAGCGTCATCTGACTAGAAATCCCGATCCGCAAAGCGGTATGTTAGAGAAAGCTCTCCAGTTTCGTTGCCTTCGAAAAGGTTCTGAGTGCTTCGAAGATAGGCTGGCATCAAAGGTTTGTTGCTCGGGAGCGTGCTGCTGCCACACTACACGCGGATGTCATGTACAGCGTTGCCTCAAATCTGTGTCTCGGCAATTTTCGTGCTGCGAGTTGCTTTCAATGAGAGCCCCATGGCCTCCATGATGTCCACAGATCTTCCCCTAATCAATGCGTGAGCGTGGTCAGAGAATCGCATGCCATTGCCGCATAACTTGCGAATGCTGCACTCGCTGAAGCGAGGTGCAGTACGTGCACCACTGACAAAAACGCCACCGTCCACAGTGAAGCGTGAACTGAGATACCAGAGCAAATCCCCTTCGCCCTTGAGCTTCAAGCGTCCTGGAGAAGGGCTTTTCTCCGTCCTTCACTTCATCCGCCTCGCCTTGAGCCCTGCGGCCACCAGGGCAGGGCTTCCGACGGACTGAACTCAACGCCTGACTTCGCGGAGGTCCACAGATTGGTTTGACAAGGAACCAGGGAGACAGTACAGGACTATTCCGCCTTTGCATCATCATGCTATGCCACCTTGTACTGGTAAAGGTAGTAATGAAGACGACGAAGCCACACGCATGACATGGCACAACGTGACACAACGCAACGCAATGCGAAGGCTGTCAACTGGTGGAGCCAAAGCTAGCACATCCTGGGCTGGAAACGGTGTCGCTCTTAGGTCAGACTTCAGTTTTGATGTTCGACGTCGGATTGTCGCCGACATGCAGCCTCGACACTCAGATCCTTCTCAGCTTCTGTGTGAACTTGAGAGAGTCCGCTGTGGCCGGCCTCTTCGAGCACTGCCCATCATTGAGGTTTCCATAAGAATCCATGACAGATCCGTGTTGTTTTGCATCCTTCGACCGGCGCCTGCAGGTATGTCGAAATTGCTGTGTGCATGTTCGACATGACCAAGTTTCAACGAACGTCGGAGACTTGGCTGTTGGCTTCCTCCTCGTTTGCGATCTTTTAGAAGTGGGCGGAGCTGTAGTCACAGGTGTCGGCCCGAGTGCACCATTGTGGTGAACTTCGATTTCTGAAAAAGGAAGTGCATGTTCCACACGTGCTCTCTCAGCACTGTCGCATGGCCGCATTTTGCATGGGTGAGACCGTCTGTCTTCCTGCCCAACGGAGTGGGGTGCACTGAAAGATGAATTCCGCTTCTGGCTTCGAGTGTAGACGTGCTCGTTTGACTGCCTAGATCCCTGCATCTTCCGAGACACCTTCTGTCAAAAACATAGTCTCTCCTGCGTCAGTGCAGCGATGAGGACAGCCATGTTAATCGGGACAGGCTTTAGAGGTTGAAGCATGTTGAAGTTGAAGTGTTGAGGTGCTTTAAATGAGAGTTCAAAAATAAGCATAAACCGTAAGGCCTGGCCAACTAACATAGAGCGACCCCAATACCCTGAATAGACCCGAAACTATCGACGGTATCTCAGTAGCAGCCGCAGAACTTGTAGTCGCAGCTCTCACTCCGACGTCGGTGTTGCAGCCGGGACCCCAGATTTGGTCCTGCGCGTTGCAACAATTCTCTGGCAGCGTCAAAAGGTCCTTGAGGCTGAAGGTTTGGCTGTGAGCTGAGATCCGTCTTGCAACGATGTTTTTGTTTGGTATTGTTTCGTGATCCTTAGCAGCCCCCTGCTTGTACAGTTTCACCCGAACTATGCTCTGGACGTGAAGCGGCTGGAGCATCAAAAGGGCAACCTCGTGCAAAGCACAGCACCTCGTTAGCTCAATCTGTGTTGATCTGTGGAAAGAAACGACATCACGCGCTGCACCGGAAGTGAAAGATGTTATTTCCTGCATGCGAGTGGTACATGTACTGTAGTGGACTGATTTGCTTGATGGCATGGGGTCTCTGGACGTTTTTTGTGGCTCATCAGCATCTGCAGCCGTGTCAATCTTTTCACCCCCGAGCGTCTCGGCCCCGGCGGCCAGCCTGCTTTTAAGTGAATTGAAGGGCTTGGCCGGGTTCCGGGGTTTAGGTGTTTAGGGGTTTAGGGATTTAGGGTTAAGGGTTAAAGGTTGACGTAGGGGTGCAAAACTTAGTGTCCTACTCTGCAGTCAGAGCTGCAAGGATTCGATTCTTTTGCATCGTTTCAATGGGACAGAAGATTCCAGAAGTCACGTTTCCAAGACTTATCAAGTCAGACATGATCTGGAACGCAGGACTGCTATTGCGAAACCCATACAGACTCTCATCCTCAAATAGTCAGTCTAAAATAGGCGGGATCAAATTATTGCACGTCATTGTAGTGCAGATCCGGTGGTGAAGCGGCGATGATGGTGATGGTGATTGTAAGCGAATTGAGGATTGATGCGACCACTCACATTGAGTGATGAAGATGAGGGCGACGCTGGCAATACTGATGATGGTGATGGTGGTGTCGGCGGTGGTGACGTTATCAGCAGCATCGTCGACGTCATTAACGTGTTTGTGCTTGTTGTTTTGTTTTCCTGGCACAGTGGCAAGTCAAGGTATTTGGTATCGTTTTCAGGCTGGGATGGATAGTCAAGGTTGCTAGGCACCATCCAAAGCTGGTAGGCCACGCTGGGCCTGCATCTTGGATCAAGGTAAACTCGCATACCACACTTTTGAGGGTGTTTAGGTGCTGGGATTTCGAACAAGAAAGGCATTTCCCGAAGGAAGTTCACGGCGAAAGACAGAAGCCTCTACGAAACCCTTAGCCCTAAACCGCCCTAAGACCCTACACTCAGATGGAGATGATCCATGGCATCACGAACGTCGGCCAGGAGGGACTTCGGAGATGCGAGGCGCCTCAGTGTTTATTTAGGGCTTAGGTTCACGGGGCTACGGTTTATACAGGGTGTCAATGAGTCAAGGTTTTGGGAAAGGGCCACGGGGTTGATTTCTTGGAAACCATGAGACTCAGCGACGGAACTTGGAGCTGCGTATAGCTGCGTCGAAGCCCTGGAATCTTGCAGAATTCAACATCCGGAGCCCGCAACCCTAAATCCAAGTGGCGCCTCAGGAACGAGGGCGTCTCATCTTTCGGACGTCCGTG